ACACACACACACACACACACACACACACACACACACACACACACACAACACACAACACACACAGCGTGTCGACCAGCATTCCTTGGCTAGATATTTGACCAATGGTGATGCTCTAAACCTGCCACACCCCCAGTCTGTTTCACGAGACGAAACTCGATCGCTACATGGACTGATCAGACGCGACAGTCGCGCTTGTAAGGAGACAGTTTCTATATAATCTTGATTGATTTTAAAGCGACAAGGACCAGACGCAACGCAACGTCGCGTCGCGCATAATGAGACAAGTTCTTATGCTATACCCACTCAAACAGCATAGCAATTTGAAACTAAATTAATTCAGTATCATCTGTTAATATGCTGTCAATATTTTATCTATTATACAAGTTGCCTGAGATATTGTTATTCATAATAAACATTCAAAATCAGAATTGGGGGAAATTGTGTGTAAACAACAATAAGGAAACAGTAGCCTACTTTGAAGTTTGCTCACGCATGAGGTGCATTGGTGAAATTAAAATGCATTTAAAATTACTAGAGAATTTTGTCTGTGCAAAAAACAATATTTTATGACGATGGTTTCAAACAGATTGAAAAAAAACCCAGAGCTGTCACAAATATCACGCAAAACGTGAACGTCTCATCAAATGTACTAATTAATTTACAGTTTTTGTTTTAAGGGTAACTGGTTTTTGTTTTGGTTTTTTTCACAGTAAAATCAACACAGAAATGTTTTTTAGAGGGCACGAAAGGTGTTGCGTCAAAAAACAAAATTTCGATAAAAATTCCTAAACCTGCTGGAATATGCCTGTTTCTTGACTTTCATTATATTGACAAGAGCCTGATTTAACCACACTGCCTCGCAAAATGATTACTTATTAAATCAAAAGTAATTTGGTTTCAGATGATAAACATTTTCGTTTACTTTGATGTCAGACAGAAAAAAATGCTGGGAAATTCCAAGAGAACACACTGAACTCGACCTCACTTGAGCTATGCAAAAGGCCCGGTTAGTTCAAATGCACTCCAGGCGACATCGTGCTCGTGTTATCAACGGCTTCATTGCTCAAAATGGAATTAACAGACGCAAATAGCCTACAATTGAACACATTTATGGGACGAGCTTGGGCGCTGTGTTCAGGAATTACCCATCAGCAGGAACTCTTGACCAGCTACCTCACAATCTTTAGCAAGAGTGGATAGCTGTTCCACAAGTGTTCCTGATAAGCTTGGTTAGGTATATATGAAAAATAGCGCGGAGAGTGCTTGCCTAATGATGGAGGACATACTCGTTACTGAGCCTTGTAATGAAACCTTCGTTTTGTTACTTTAATTTTTTGGGGTACCCATGTCTACAGTAGGCCTACATATTTGAGTTGATTTATTACAATGTTTGAAGTTATTATATATTTTTAGATATATTAAACAACTGTCTGTTCTAAAATTTAAAAGAAAGACAAGACTTGTTTTTATCTCTTTTGCTCCCCTTTTATTTAAATTCCTAAGTGTCCTCTAACTTTTTTCGAAGAGTATACGCTTAAAAAGACGCTAAGAAATCACAACTGTGTGCATAATACTCAAAGCCATTTAATTGTCACATAAATAGCTGTTCATCTCTTTTGGGCTGCTCATATAAACAATCATAAGTGGCGTCGGTGGCCTAGTGGTTAGGCTCTCGGACTCACAACCGTAAGGTCGTGGGTTCGAATCCCGTCAAGGGCCCGACGTTGTGTCCTTGGGAAAGGCACTTTACACGAATTTTCCTCACTTCACCCAGGTGGGAATGGGTACCCGGCTATAGACAGCGAAAGATCTTGTCAGTTTGTTAGTGTTTGAGCGCTTAATCAGCTGTTTGCACTGTATGCTTCCCGGGAGGCTGAGAATGTTTCGGAGTGTTCTATGGTCTGCTGGGGTAATAATATAGTGTAAAGCGCATAGAGCCTGCTGCTGAGCGGGGATATGCGCTATACAAATGCTATCTATTATCTATTATTATTATTATAAGCACTGATTATGTAAGCTAACAATTAGACTGGTAGTGGCAGAGTCTATTTCAAAAAGGAAAGGCGGAACTAATTTCTAATAATCTCATGCCTGCTATGAGTGCTTGGTTGGGGGTTTTTTCCTCGATTTTTTAACCACCCTATAATTAGACCAAGGCATGAACACACCAGCTCCTGGCCACGATAAAGACTGTCAAATTTGGAACAAAACTGATAATACATGATTAATTTGTCGTATTGTCATTTCTGCTTCTTTGCCTTCTGTTTATGTATTCAGATCTTTAGTTAAATTTAATGTTTAAAAATCTTGAGACCATCATTTCCCCCGTCCTTTAAAAAGTTGTAATACGTTTAGTCCAAAATGTGTATACATATTTAATGAGATATTTCCTCGATTATTTTGGTGGCTGAGAATTCAGGATTTGTTTTCATTCACGACAGAGTGATGCCACCTCGAATAAGAGGTTTTGTTAATAATAATTATGCTCTTACTGTAGAAAAACTTTTCACCTCTGGCCTCATTTCTAGTTGTTTTGCTTTGCTTTGGGTTTTTTTGGGGTTTTTTTTTTTTTTTTTTTTTAACTGCTGATGTTTTTTTACCCTCCCATCCACACAATTTAGATGTGTTTGGGGGGGGGGGTGTTTGCTTTCTGTTTTGGTCTCACTTTGATTTTTGTCAAACAAGCCAGCTTTTGCCGCTCATACCTTAACATTCATTAGGTTTGTCCAATCTGTTCAGGCTGTGTTCGCCTCCATTAATTTCATTTTCATTGCTGTCATCAGTATCTTTCGTCCTTTTCTTCCTCCTCTTCCTTTCCTTCTCTCAGTATCATCTTGATCAACCCCATTTCTTCTTCTTCTTCTTCTTCTTCTTCTTCTTCTTCTTCTTCTTCTTCTTCTTCTCTTTCTCCCTTTTCTTCTTTTTCTTCTTTAAGAAATATAGTAATACACCCCCCCCCCTCATTCCCACCTACCTGCAATGGAAAGTACTCTCAAATTTCGCATGGAGAAGATGTGGTGCAATCCAAAGTCCCCCACTTGTACACACCAACGAATGAATAATCGTGAGAGAGGAGTCATTGTCGAGATGTAGCCAATGCCAATATCTGTAACGTGTGTACATCTGGGGAATCGTAAAAATATAGTGAAACATGAGCAAAACACCCACCTCCGATATTAATGAAGCCGGTTTACTGGTATGATGTCACTGGTCTTAGATTGTGTGAGTACGCTTGATTGGGGTTTTGAGCGTGTTAACAGTCAGTGACGCCTTGCGTATTGTGTGCACCTGCGTTGTGTGGACGATTAATGAAATAAGTACCTTTACATAGTATACCTGTGAGTTGAGGTAGTTTTAAGCTGGTCTCTAATATTTTTTCTTTAATGTAGTAAGGAATCGTGTAGAATTATTGGAAATTCCCTTTAGTTCTTGAACACGCGAGGATAAGCTCATTAAGAGACTGGGATCACACCAACCAGTAGAAGTTTCGCATCTTACTGTGTATGGAAACAAAGATAGTACAAGACAAGATGGGCCACTCAGCCTAAAAAGTGTCCGCAGGAAGTATGCTCTTTGCTTCAGATGGCGCTGCAGTCTGTTTTGAAGCTCTCTTTCGTTTTTCCAGAAGAAGAATAGGAATAGCACCTCCTTGCGTGCGCAGATCGACTGCTGTTCATCAGCAGTCCAGGTACGTTCAGTGGGGAGTTTTAGGTTTTTTTTATTTTAATGACCTCTCGCCCTTCATTCTAAAGTCAAATTAAACGAAGAAAACCATCTCCTTTTCCTCTGAAAGAGGTTTTTTGTCAGCGTAACCATTTTTAAAAAGCGTTCTTCCGAAATTTATCCCAAAACTTGCTAGTTTCACTTAGATTTTTTAAAACTCAAGTAGGGTAACTCTGTTCGCAAAGAGTGCGCTTTTGTGAAGAGGGCGCCACCAAATTTTGAGGACACTTTTTTAATTGGCTCAAAGAGAGAAGTGGCCCATCTTGTCTTGTACTATCTTTGATGGAAAGCAAACAAGATATTAGTCATGAATGGTCCATCGTAAAAGATGCACAGTTTAACCAAAAGGCATTCGGCAAATTTGCTCAATAAAAATATAAATAAAGACGCATACGTGAGCCCATTTTCCTGGTTTCAAACGTGGTTTAGTATTGCCATTAACAAGATTATAGTTCTTTTGAATTATAATTACATTATGTATTCGCGTTCTTTTTTGTGTGTGTTTCACTGTCTGTTCCGTCAGTATACACGTACTATTATTAATAACCTGAGCGATCTCGACATGATTTTGGTAACGGCAAGTCCCACCCTCTTTATAACCCACCCGACGCCACTGAGCTATATGGAGCAAAACGGGATTGTCACATATGATTTGAGAATGCCTGCTAATTTCAGATAAATAGATGCATGATAATCCTCCTAGATCTATGTGATAGTGGGAATCTAGATTGATGCCACGTTGAGACTTCGTTCCACTCGCTTTGCCGCAATCGGCATTCAGTAGGCTAGGCCTAGATTCTATCTATAGGCCTATAATTGCACCTTTCTCTTTTAGGTTAGCTTTTTTTTAGGTGGGTGGGAAGGTGGTAGCAACAGTGTACCTGTGTAAAAATTATAAACCATATAGGCCTACTGTTACTCTGACAACCCCCCCCCCCCCTTACAAAAAAGCAGATCCAAGAACCACTGTTCAACTTGCTGTTTAAATTGATAGGGCCTACATTGTTCTCAATCTGTGCAATTAGTTGGACTCAGATTCAACGCGATCTGTTGAGACTTCAGTTCGATTCATTTCGCCTCATCCGCCATTCAGTACGTCTAGAACTTAGATTCTACACAGCGACAGTGTCACTAATTAAGAGATTAAGACAATGTAAACTTTATCAAGATTATATAACATAAATTTGCAATCTATAGGGACCAAGTCTTGCAGGTTCGGAGGGAAGAATATTTGATTATTTCGACGAATGTGGCCCAATTAAAATTACCCCTTGTAGCCCAAATAAAGTTACCCTAATACGGAGCGCCCATTATGGCTGGATCGGGCCGATCGCCCTACTCGGTCACCTGAAACTGAAAACAAACATGTTTGTTTTTTAGGCAACCGAGTCGGGCGATCGGCCCGATCCGCCGATCCAATCCGTAATAGGCACTCCGTATAAGAGTTCCGTAAGTCAGGTCAGGGAATCCCCCTGCTACTGGCGACATATAGCCCAGTATAACCGTTTGCATGGACTGGTGTTCCAGCATGCTACCAGGAGGTGCATACCTCGCTACCAGAGCGGATGGAGCTCACTGCTGAGCGTTTAAGGCCACCAACTAGAGGATTTCAGTGAACCACTTCAGTGGCCTCCGTTGTTTTCTGCAGTAGCGCTGTGCAAGATACTGTATCATGTCGTATGTAACAGATGAAGATCTAAGCATTCTTCCCCACCGCAGCTTCAACGTTGGTGGCGGCAGGCCAATGGTAAGCAACCAGGGAGGATGGCAAAGATCGTAATACTGGCCAAGCTGCTAAGACGTGGGGCAACCACTGAATATGGTGTTCTTGGCCCAGGTCCTCAAAACCCTAGTTACCTGGGACTAATGGGCAGCCTGCCCTTCAATGGATGCAATTCTGACAACCTCCGGCACCTAGATACAATCTGATCGTCTTGTCTTTATCTTGCCATCAGATACATTGCTCTTAGGCGAGAGAGTGAGTCTGATGTTTGCTCTGCTCTTTTTCCTTTAAAAAAAACTTTTGTGCAAGTCAAAAATCCGATTTTATCCATCCTATCCTTTTACTTTGTCGTCTATCCCAATTATTTTTTTTCGGCGACGGGTTAGTGCGGTGTCAGCAGGCTTGCATAGGCTGGGAGCTGTTAGCACAAGCCTGCACTGTGCTTTGGTCCTCACATTACCGAGTAGAACTGAAGGTATGATCCGGCAGCACCCATGGTATCTGAGCAGCCTTTATAGGACAGCACTGCCCACCCCACAAGGAGAATGGGCTAGAAAAGGTGCCCTAAAGAAAGCTCATCTCATCTTCCTGGACTGGTTCACCACGATCAGAAGGGATGCCACAATACGTTCTAAATAATAAAAGAACTTAAATGAATAATAAACTTATGAAATTTGGTTGCTGGAATACTCGTACACTTCAGAATAATCAGAAAGGAAGACAGCCATTAAATTGCAGATGAGCTCAGCCGCTATATAGCGACCTCGATATCGTTGCTTTCAGTGAAACTAAATTTGCTGATGAAGGTCAGTTGAAAGAACTGAGTGGCGGCTATACTTTTTTTTGGAAGGGAACCGTCTTCAGAAAGAAGAACAAATGGTGTTGGCTTTGCGGTGAAAAAATCACACAGCTGTCCGACTGGAATCCCTTCCAAATGGTATTAATGACAGACCCGTGGTTCTGAAACCTCGCACTGCTAAGACCCACTATATGCAAAATTTGTGAGTGCACACTATGCCCCAACGATGACCAACCAGGATGATGTCAAAGACAAATTCTATTGTGACCTCGAAGCCGTTCTATGCTCTTCCTAGCGTCTGATAAGCTGTTTTTGATGGTGACTTCAAAGCCAGAGTAGGTTCAGACTCTAGTTCCTCGGCAGGTATCATTGGTAAACATGGTATGGGCTCTTGTAGCCGCAATGGTCTTCATCTTCTTTCTTCTCTTCTTTCTTTTTCATCCTCTGTTGCCGTTAAGCGTCGAGGGGAGATGCAGTTTTCTGTGGTAGGCCAGCTTCGCAGCTCTTTCAGTTGTGATGTAATGTTTTCTTGGGGTCTTCATCTGTAACAGAAATGTGCAGAACATGGTCTGTTCATCACTAACACAAACTTTCACCAGCCAGTAAGATCCATATCTTCCTGGCTACGTCCCCGCTCAAAGCATTGGCATCTCATAGATTACATCATCGTGAAACGTAAAGACATGAGTGGTATCAGAGTCACTCGCGCCATGTGCCTTGCAGAATGTGGAATCGACCACATACTGATTGTGAGCAAAGTCAGCCTGAGATTATATTTTTTAAAGATGTCCCCAGGGGTAACGACTTGGCACAAATAAACTGTCAAAAAATGCTGCTTACAAACAGCCCTCAAAACACACATGAGTACCAAGATGAAAAAATATTTTCTTCACTCCCAATGACATTGAAAGCAAACCGAGCTTTACTTAGAGACACAGTTTATAAACAGCATCGGCTTTCCCAGTCGTTGTCATCAGGGCTGGTTTGATGAAAACAATAGGGAAATTCACAACCTCATTCAATAACAGAGAAAGGTGATACAGTCATCACCCAGTAATTCAAATTCCCAGTCAAAACGAGACGCACTGAGATCTTGTAAAGGACACCTTCAGAAAAAATCAAAATAAGTGAAAAGTTACTGGTTTGAGCATAAGATTAGAAACACTCAGCAGTGGGAGGATACAAACAACACTCGTACGTTTTAAGGGAGCCTACGCTGCATTTGTGTTCTATCTCGCGAGGGTGTTACACCCCTTCTTAACCAAGATGGTTCCAAACCACTAAGAATAATTTCCGAGTCAATGGAATTCCTCTCGCAAATTCCAACGAACACCTCCCTTGATTGTCAACCAACAAGCATCGAAACCAGAGGTGCCACAAATGCTATTTCCTGCAATAAGGCCCCAGGTTCAGATTCTATTCCTGCAGAGCTCTTTGCTTTTGGCGGACGCCATCTTGTTGAGCTATTCTGTCAAATTTGGGAGAGTAGAAGTATTCCCCCGGGTACAAGGATGCAACTTTCATTCATCTATACAAAAAATAAAGGTGACAGACAATCATGAGAAAATCTCAGAGACATATCCCTCTTGTCCATACTGCCGTCGTAAGGGAAAACGACGAATGGTCAAAATTTTTCGATTTCGCTATTTTTATATATTTCATAGAGTATTTAATTCTGCATCTGATGGTGTAAAAATTTTTGTCATATCCTAATCCGTTGTTGCGTAATTGAGAGTTCGTCGTTTTTCCGTACACTGGCGAGCTCCGAGCCAGAGCTCAGTGTAAGGGAGAACGACGAATGGTCGATCGGTCAAGGATCACTGCTCGTTCAGCGTTGTTTCCTGGTCTCTGCCGTTGGGCAAATTCGGCATGGGCGAC